GTCTTGATCCGACTTCAGACGTTACTCTTATCGAGTATCTGTCATCGCGCCCATCCTAGTTCGCCGTAACAGGACCAGGATATGAGAAGGTGGATAGAGTCTGGAATCCAAGATGAGGTGAAGTCCAGATGTCTTGCTGGATGGAGTGTACATAGGGTGGATGGGACAGGGGATTATGGTTCAGGCTAGCAGTGGAGATCCAATGGTCTGGAGCTCAGGGGTAAATCCAGAGCATAGTCAATCCTGCTGAGGTGTGGAGCACACAGTGGAAGGGGATCTGGGAATGAGTTGGATATGAAGTGGGGTCTGGACATAGGCTCAGAAGGCATGGGAATATGATGGAATGTGGGTCTGGATTGTGGGATATGACAAAATGGAAAAACCCCACCTGAAAAATATGACTTGAAGCATGAAAGTAATAGATTGGGTGTCAGGTTGGTACATTACTTTCAGACATGATAATATTGGCAAGAAGTCAGACATTGGGCCTTGAATCATGCCTACTTCATTGAATTGTGTTGGGTTTCTCATGCTCTGTGGTATAGTGCCAACATTGAACTCATTGCAATTATTGCTGTCATGCCTATGATACTACCAGAGGTTTTTCCTCAATTTCCATCTCATGCAGTGACTCAGGCTCCATTGTCAGCAAACTTTCTCACTGCACATGATACACTGTCAGATATCCACCAGCATGCCTTTCAGATTCTAAATCAAGAAGATGCTGATCCCCTTCAGCTTATGTTTCATATAGAAACACTATCTGGAGATGCTGTACCTCTCCTAGAAGCACTTGCATGGAATCCCCAAGGAAATGAGATGTGTGATTGGCTATCTTATGCAGCAAATGTGCTGGGGGAGCTCTCAGCACAGTTATCATTGTTTCAATACAATACTGTTACAAACTAGGATAGTTCTAACAACAGACAACTTGATAAGAGTCAGGACCCCTGTTGAGATTCTATGCCTCATGATAAGCAAGATGTTCAAGGTAAGCTAAGATGGAGAGAGTGTCTCTGACTTAAAGTATGATCTAGACGACTTAAGATTGGTGGTCTTAAGTGAAGGATGTTCCAGGTAAAACCTAGTAAGATTAAAGTAAAGAACTACACAGTGATAAGTCACATATTTATTAGGAATAGTGAAGGGAAGTTTAGGGCAGGCATGAATAGGTGAAGCTACGAGCATATGCCTAATAAGGATGGAGCAACAATGTCAGAAGTACAAGAAAGGAAACAGGACATGTAGCAAGACATGTAGATGGCATCTAATGGTAGCATGAGTGACACACAACATAATACAGTAAATGTAAAGTGATTCAGATAGAAACAATAGATGATGAGAAAGCAGAAAAAGTACAGCAGGGCAGGGCATATCATAACAAATACTCAAAACTGGTAGTTCACACTCTTGACTCCCTCAATTTTAATAGTTATTGATTTTGCAATGAAGTATGGACAAGGATGTGGTGTTCCTTCAACCAGTAACATTATTGCGCACAAATTGTGCAGGTTGCCTGAAAAAAATCATTGATATTGAATTCCTTGCTGAAGCACTGTCAAATTCATGATATTAACCTAACAGAATTGGCCAAGACATTAGGAATCCACAGGAATACTCTGTGACTCTATATGAAAGCCCATGGAATCACACAAAGGTACTCTGAACTCACTAATGCTGACTTTGATATCCTCATTGGCAAGTTCAAAAAAAAGTAACTGGATTCAGGCATTAGATATATAATCGGGTTTCTTTGCAGATATGGTCTCTGAGTATAACATCAATGAGTTGCAGAATCACTTTGTAGAGTGGATGGCTTGGGTCAGGTGTTACAAGACCATCAAGTCAAATGCAGGTGAAAATACCATGTGAAGTGGCCCAATGCTCTGTGGCACATAGATGGGCATCATAAACTGATTCAATGGGGAATTGTGATTCATGGATTTATTGATGGGTTTTGCAGAACAGTCTGACTCAGTCTAATGTGTCTTGTTTGTATTTGATTCTGATGTCTAGTCTTGTCAGATAACTGGACTCAAAGCAAGTAATAACAACTACTCTACTACTGTTTTAGATCTTTTTGAACATTCAATATGAGAATTTGGGATACCCTCTTGTGTATGAGGAGATTGTGGTGGAGAGAACCTTGATGTTGTGACTTATATGATAATGAAACATGGACCATGCCAAGCATCATTCATGTGGGGATCATGAGTTATACTACTTAATTATGTTGATTCACCATATTACATGCTAATTCTGAGTACCAGTTCTACCCATAATTCATGACTTGAGTATTTGTGGGTTGAGGTAGGCACCCAGTTTGCTTCAAGATGGAGAGCATTTTTTACTCAACTTGAGAACTACCATGGACTTTGCCCTGACATCCCTAGTCATATTTGGCTACTTCAAACACTATTTCTTGGCAAAATCAGTCAAGATTGCTCAGATTTCCAAGTGAAATGGAATTGTCATCCAATAAGTGGTCCAGATACAAACAATAAGAGTCTGAAGGTAAGATCACAGACACATTATTGATGTAACTATGATATTGACACATTATCAAAACAGGATTTATGTTTTTTAGGGCAGGTACAATTCAGCATATATCGAGACAACTGTGAAGGGATACATCCTGATGTAATTGAAGAATATTATGGGGTCTATGGCCATGTTGCAACTTGACAGTGACACCAGACCGGAGCAGGACATCCCATGGATGAAGAAGACAGTGATGATGGTGAGGGATCTCAAGATATAGTACAGGTGGTCAATAACCAGCAAAGAGACCATGTCCACCATGAAGCCATCAGTGTTCCATTGCAAAGGAGCCCTTTTGTCAATGAAGGAACATACTGGCAATTTTCTGCCACTCTCACTGAAGTTGTAGCCAAAGACATAACACCACATCATTGCAGGCTGGCTGCAGACAATGCAGATGAGTGGGAAGGTAATGAATACCTGGTTTTTGAGACTATTTCCATTGGTTACCATTGCTTGGTGAATTGATATGGTTTAAGCAAGCAAAGCTATGGTGCTAAGTGTTAGTGGTGTTGTCATATTTTTTAGCTGTTGGTAGAGAGTGATGAGACTTACCTGGTACTACTTGAATAATACTTGAATGAGATGTGTCACATAGTCCAACTGGTGGTGATCTCAGAACTAGCTTAAATAGACATGATCACTAGACTTGATAACTCACTTCAGGTCATTTCCACTGATTCCTCTTGAAGTCACAGTCTTTCTGCACCCTCTTCCACTTGCTGCAGTATCACTGTAGTGGCATGGATCCTGCCAGTGAGAGCAACAAAGGTATCTTTTGTAGAAGTATCATGGCTAACAGTTAACCATGTGACTGTGAGGAATTTTTTGCTCAGTCACAGGACAAGGGTCATTGTGTGGAGTGTGGCCATGGCCATAGCAAGCACCCTTGCAAGGTATCAGGCTACAAACCAGAAGTTATTCAAGATGAATCTTGCCCAAGTTTGTCAGCTGCCATCAAGGACATATTCAATTGAGTAGCTGGTGGCAGGACTGTCAATGAAAAGTCATCCACCATGAAGTGAGGGAGCTTCTCATGCAGTGCTGCCCAGGAAGAGGCCATATTGACATTATCTTTGTTACACTTAACAATGAATACCTTGCTCAAGTCTACCAAGAGACAAGCTTAGTATTGCTAAGGTCAAGATAGGGAATACATGAGTGTAACTATGTGTATATATATGAGTATTCAGGCAGAGCTCTAATGTAGCTAGCCAATGATATAATGTTATGTAAGATCATACAATAGAATGTGATGGAACACTAAAGAACATATGATGTCATCTGTGATAAGGTGAATGTTAAGGTTGTGTGCTCAAGGGGGTCGGATCACAAGGGCTTGGCCTCAGCTCATACACTGTGTCCCTTTCCCAAGTATGTGCCCTTAATTTCCGGGGGCTAGAACAGTCGTCTGGAGTTTCCAGGATTTGACTAGGGCAGATAACGGATGTCTGGATCTGAAACGTGAGATAAATCTGATGGACGTCCGGATGTTACCTGGGCAAGCGGATAAGACTAATCTGGATGAAGTCCAGACTAGAAACTAACAGAGGATGGACTACTTTTAAGGTAGAGTCGGAAATGTAGTCTAGGATGCAATCCTAAGACTCAGAATATGACAAGAGACTTATCTCAAGTCCGGAGGACACAGGAATGAGCAGGAACTAAGATGATATTCGAACTGGAGTATTTCTGAGAGTTACAGGAGGTTTATATACTGTAGGTATCATATAGGAATCAGTCAGCAAACATAAAGGCTATGTATGAAGCATATGCAGAGTCTATTAGTAAGTAGGATGGATCACAAATAATGAATGCTGGAAATGAAATGTATGTAATGGATCAATAATCAAAAGGGAAACATGGTTAACCAGAGTCCAGAGACAGGGGCAGTCTAAATGGAGTTGGGCACTGATATAGGGTTTGGATTCCAGAAGGGAGATAAAGATAGATCAGATCATTTGAGATCCGGATCTTGGATCCAGATATCCGGAGAAGCAGATTTAGAGTTGAGAGTCTGGAATGGCATATGACAGTGAAGTTGTGAAGGTGTGAAAGGTGACATCGTGAAAAGGTGAAGGTACTAGGGAGAACCATAACAATCTTCTACTCAGCTTGCTGGTTACAATAAATTGGCCAAGGGTCCAGCACCATCAGCTGGCTTGCGAAAGGTATGAGATACACTGACAGCTAGTTCAAAAATTTACTTGATAACTTCTAGGATCACAAAGAAATGAACCCCATCAGGGCATTGACCTGACAATGACATAGCATTATAAAGCTTTATCTAATATAAAATTCATATAATCTCTATCATAATTGCAGTTAGCCTCACAAAGCTATAGATAGGAGGACTCTGATGGGGAAAACCACCAAAGATACAATTATGATACATATTGCAAACATCTGCCATCCTTGACAAAATTTTATAATGCCAGGCTGCTTCAAACAAAACTGCCATGGAATTGCCAAAAGTCTTAACATTGACACTCATTTTATCATTTTATATATCAAATCAAATTTTAATTGGGGTTGGGATGTACATATGTGGTATTAATACAGGAGAGAAGAGAGACATAGTAGAACAGAAGTTAGAAAGATAGAGGCATGTCAGTTACCTGCCAAGAGAGAGAGAGAGAGAGAGAGAGAGAGAGAGAAAGAACCATCAGGAAAGGCTAGGGAGGACCAGAGAAGGTCAGGGAGGAGAAGGGCCAGGGAGGAGCCAGGAAGGGCCAGAGGTGTGTGTTTTTTTTTTTAACAATTAGTTAATGCTTCATATGATATTGCTTGTCAGTGGCAGAGAAGCCAGGAAGGGCCATGAGGGAGAACCAGGGAGGAGGAGGGCCAGGGAGGACCAGGAAGAAGGAGGACCAAGAAGAAGGGCCAGGAAGGAGGGCCAGAAGAGGTGCACAGTTAGAGTGTGGATGAGATGAGAGAAGACAAGTCTCGAAAATATGAACCACAACTTACACAAGCATCATGTGACATGGCTCCTGTAGTGCAATGTCATGCAAGCAGTGGTAGTAAAGACCAATTGGTGGAAACTTGTTGATACAATTACAAGACATGATATATCTACATCAGAATGTTGGTTCTTTTGCAATACTTGTTCATTTAATACCAATATGTCATACTCATTATCAACTTTATATAATTCAGTGGATTTTTTATTTGATTTTACCAACTAAATTTAAGAAAAACAAGTCTGTGCCAATGTTCTGATGGCCAAGACACATCAAGGTGATATGTCTGATATAGTCATATCTTAATTCATATATGTGTGGTACCATGATAATGATATCTAAGGCTAAAACATGACATGTAATAATGATTATTGATTACCAATTATATCTGGTCATACCAACTTCAGGTTGATTTCCTGATGCCCATACCTAGCAAGTCAAGTGCACTAGAACACTGCCTCTAGTAGTATCACAGTGGCAAATACTGTGTTTGGAGTTGCATCAATTGCTATACTAACCTGTGGTGTCAATGTCAGTCAAGCTGTACCCTCAATGGATTAAACTAATACTATATCATTTGACAGAGGAATGATCTCATCAGGGAAACCAAAGCCCCAAGCAAGGGCAGCCAAAATGAGATACAGGCCATGAGGAACCATAGGTGCTACCTTAACCAGCAATTTAGAGTCAAAACTGGATGGTCATATTCAAAGATCACCAGTAACCTATGTACCTGGTTTCCAAAGGTCTTCAAATACCTGGATATGCAAGTTGAGAAGTGAACATCACAATCATGGCCCAGCCAAGAAGAGACACCTGTTTGGCACCTCCTGAACAAGTCTGGACTGGCATTGATGGTTGTCAATATTGCATTTCCAACTGGAAGTGACCTCACAAAATATAAGGGATGAGAAAAAGCCAGCCCCAGTGAATGTTATCTCTGGTTTGGTAGGTTCATGTGTATTTGCTTCAACATTTATGTGCCAACAAATCCAATTATCAGTAACAAGGAATTGGATCCCTGACAATGTTTATGAATCTTGGAAAATGCAGCCTGTCATTGTGGGTTCAGATTCTGAACATGATGGCAGTGACCAGCTTTTGTCTGATATGGACAGTTCAGCTGTTGATAAGTTGGACAATGAGCTCACAAGTTCCTTGATGGAATTGGATCTGACTAATGTTGAAGTCAAGGACTTAGACCCCAAAGGTAAAATGAAGGTTAGATCACTGAAAAGTACCAATCACAGTGAGTGTTTAGTTATTCAAATTATACTAATTGTGCATGTCTTACTTGTCTGTTTCACAGTGAAAAGTGTCCTTTCTCCCAACCAGTCACTATCAGATATGAAGTGAGTGGCTCAAAATAAACTAAAGAAAGGTTCATCACTCCACCTATTTTCTCAGATACTTGATGATATGTATTTGATGGTCAGAATTAGCATATGACACTAGCTTTCTGCTATTTTTGATAGACTTGGCAAGTCCAAATTCTCAATTCCCCTTGTCAATCCAGCCTGCTCAATCCAGTGGCTTTTGTAAGTTCACTATTCCATTGGCTGATTACTTATTAACCATTATCAGCAGAGATGATGTCATTTCACAGTCAGGTACATGCTGGTGCTGCTGCCAGTGTATAACTCAAGGATGAACTGTCATCTCCACCTGAATTTGTGTCAGTCAGTGAGGCTAATGTCTTCTGGCACAATAAAACAGAAGACAATAACCCCTTCACTCTGGAACACATCAATCCATGGGACTCTCATTATACTATGATTCAGAACCCTGCTAACTTTCTCATTTGAGTTGCCATACTGGTCTCCTTTGAGCTACAGACAGCTGTACTAATTTTATTTCTTGTTCTTCCTTGTGCTTTGCAGTACATACTGTTAATCTCATCCAACACTTGTCATATCACCCATCCTATACTCCTACCTTGCATCCTCACAATGCACTAGCTAATGATATGTTGCAATCACATGCATGATTTCACTTGTTACTTCACACTTTTTGAAATGTGTCAAGTTACAGTTGGAAACCCCAGTTGAAAGCTGAATGCTGGTTTACAGCACAGTATTCACTTATAAGGTGTGATTCTAACAGAATGCCACCTTGCAGAACCATGCCTCCTGTTCCTTTGTCACAGTGCAACAATAGCTGGCAGCCTCAGCCAAAACTTTCTAGACCATTCAGAGGGTCATCTCAAGTGAATTTCAAGAGGGACTGTATAACAATTCTTGTGGAAAGTCCAGCCACTGCTGTTGCTATGAAGTCAGCTTCAAGCCTGGCAGTAACAAATGAGCCTCAGTCAATACCAGACTCACCGAAGCCAGAAAATATCAAAAATGGGGAATCAAAGATACAAGATCTTGGTATGTTTGTTGCAATCTACAGACCATGTAATTCATTTTCTTGAGCTCTGTAGGCCTGTGTGAACTGATTATCAGTAGAATATGGAATGGTAGTGATGGACCTGAACTTGAGGTATGAGAAGCTTCCTGTTTCTTATCTTTCTCAGGCTGATTGCCAGGGTAGGTCTTCTTAAATGTTTCAGAAGAAGATTATATGTATGTTTTGGATGTTATTGGATCTGATTGCAAAGTGGTTCGCAAGTGAGTCTTTCTGGTCCTTTTCAAATTGAAGCTGATCTTGTAGTTTGCTTCAGACTGTCATATACCCCCCACCTTCAAAAACTCATTGCCACCCTGCCTTCACTAATTTATGAAGCAAACCTGGTGCCTTTGTGCACTGCAATGGGGATTGTCATCACTTCTCTCACCATCCCTGAAGACTTTGAGGTTTTCTTACCCATCCACATGGTGTGTATGGTAGATGCGCCCACTACATCAGATCTACCTCCCAACAAGAGATACCAGCTTGGAATACCAGACTTAGTACTGATGCTTCAGACCTGTGATGACAATATCCTTCCATTATGGCTGTTTGAGGTGTCTATTTCTGAGACCTCCAAAAGTGCCATCGAGAAGCTGCAGACCTATGGTAATCAGAATGAGAATATCATAGCTGCCACCCACATTAGTATCATTGAAGGCCAGAAACATGATTCACCCATGTATGAATGGGGCCCTGAGAAGGAGCTTGATCAGAGGGGGGTTCAGATTAAGGACTTGGCACACTTGGAAGATGGTAGAGTTATGTTGCTCTCTCATACATGGTTTCACCCAATAACAGTTACCATCACCACATGGGTCCACCCTCATAACAAGCAATTGGACTTGAATATTTGTTAGTGTGCATATTATGCCACCATGGTACATAATCCTTTTGGTTTGTCCAACATTAACACTAACTATTCACATTAACAGGTACTCTACCCTTATCGAGACAATCAGGGATTAGGGAAAGTTGAACACATATTCCAATGCATGCTAGAGAGAGTCTGCAATAAGGTTGTCAGCCATTTGCAGATTGAGCATGCATATATGTGACCAAGCACTCATGTAAGCATGAAGTACTATCTACTGATCATTGTGATTCATGATTTTAAGGCCCTCACTTGATGTTGTGAGAAACTGGTCCCCACCAAGTAAGCTACTTGATTGGGACATATGTCACAGGAACCTTTGGGAAGTGGCAAAGCAGACAGGATTTGATAGGTACTGCCCATGGCACAGCAAATTCCTCAAGCATGTTGCTGATGAAGAGGAGCATGTCCCCAGCACTGGAATGAGCAAGAGAGTGAAGCATGCTTAGTATGTGTTATGTAAATTTTTAATCTATTTAGCTTTCAAAGTGTACTACATTGTGTTGCACATTTTGCCAATGTTGTTTGAACAATGACCTGTACTGTATGCTTCTTATACCACTCCCAGCTCAGTCATGATTGTCACTTTATATTCTTGAACATTGATACAACCTCTGGCATCTGATTTCAAACATGGTGAGCCTAAGTCTTATTTAAAACATGTTGCAGGCCTAAAATAATAATTGTGAAACTTATCTAGTAGTATTGGGTTGATACAGGTTTTGAACATGAATGTATAGACAAAACTCTCAATCTTTGAAAACATGTAGTGCAGAGAAGGGTTGAATCAAATACAGAGGCTCTATTGATGAGACATGCAGTGCAGGGGACAGCATGCATGGGTGCACAATGTGCATATATTAAATGTGCAGATATAATGCCATACTTATGTACCAGGTTGACCCATCCTCTATTGAAAGTGCTACATTTTTGTGCTTGCCTGTCAGTGTACTCAACCAGTTTTCTTGTCCTCTATCAAAAGTGCTACATTTCTGTGCTCACCTGCCAATGGATTCTGAAGACTAGAATGAAAAGTAAGTTTCAGCAGATGGGAACAAATAGTATAGATTGAATGTACCTAGAACAACAAGTACAGTAGCTCAAAAAAATGTTCCAATATTTGTGGGTTTTCACATAACTGCTCCACTGTGAGTCAGGGTGTGAAAACATGACCAAGCTACAGGGAGGTATCAGAATGCTCTGCTTCTTTACTTTGTCTTTGTTCCATATAGTGTAGGAATCCAATGTTATCCTGTGAAGACATGGACATTTTAATTTGGTGACTCATTGGGACACTTTTTGACTTTGACTTTGACCAATACAATCTCTATAATTCTAATACTTGGTGTTTCCTCCTGTTGTTCTAATCACTTCTGCCACTCTTATAGACATGCTCTTTATTAATTCCTAGCATTACCCATTAGTAATCTTCCCCCACCATGCTGCAACTCCCTCCCATAGCTGAAATAGCCCCTATGAAGGATCTTGATACATTGCAAGTAATGTCCTAAGCAATTTCCAGAGCTGTTCAATGGGGTTGAGGTCTGAAGACTATACTTGCTATTATAGAACAGTAATATCATAGTTTCAAACCATTTGGTAGCTGACTTGGAGTATGCCTGAGATCATCATCCTATTAGAAGATAGTGTCTTCTTCATCAATTTCTCATTTCTGCATGCTTCTAAGCAGACCCTCCTCC